GGGGGAGCGCAGCGAGCAGGAATTGCGAAGGATCTGTTCTTCAGCAGTACAAGAATACAGACGTGTACCAAACCTGTTGTGATGTAGTAAAGTACTAGGGTAGATAAAATATATCAACTTCTTCATTTATATAACTTTAGTTAAAACTTAATTGTGTAGGTAGGTATGCCAGTATGTGCATCTTTGTAAGGATAAAAGGTTGATTTTTAATAATCAGAATATTTTTTTAACTGCTGTGAATAGTTAAAGCATTCACTCCTCTTGCTGCTGGAAGACTAGGCTGGGATGATGCCTCCCAGTTCTGTCACGTATAATTGGAATGTTGTTAGTACTGATAGGATTAAAAGTACTACAGCGGCATCAGTTAAGACTGTTAATGCACTGTGAGAAGCGGTTTATTTATAAACCGGGACGCTTTTCTGCCACGTAAGCTCGTTGTTTCTGACAAAATAAGGCAGCAGGGTGGCGATGCCTGTCTGAGATGGCAGGATAACAGCGAGATGCTGACATAACCACAAGGATATATTTCTGAAAGCTTTTCCTTGCTTTAAGTGGCTGAAGACTGTCTCTCAGCCTGGGCCGCGTGGGCTTATGACTCTCTGCATGGGTTTATGCATAAATCTTGACTCCTGTAAAAGAGGCTAGTGAGAGCTGGCTTTATGATGTGTATTTGAAAACTCTTTGCAGTCAAAGCCAGGAAACAGATCTGGAAGTTTTCAGAAGCAGTGATTTGAATTAAAAGAGGTCTAGGGCACTTCAAGGCTTTCAACAGATCTTACTCATCTGCATGTTTTTCCTGAGTTTTTAATGGAAAAAACTTCTAATGGAAACCCACGATAATAACTCAGCCTGCCGGTGTGAGTTGGGTGGTGCTATGTGCCTCGCTGTCGACAGCAGAGGCTTTTCCAACTGCAAGTACAGTTGCCTGCAAACAGTTACAGGCTCAAGGAAGGAGAGACAGTTTTAACACTAGTTGCAATGTGTAACCACCCACGTATTCCACTAACGAAAACCCATTTCTTATCCTTACAGATCGAATCAACATAAAGAGAAAAGGTGCATGGCCTTCTGCCTACCTCTCTGTTCAGAATGTGATTGATTGTGCTGACGCGGGATCCTGTGAAGGCGGCGACCACTCAGGTGTCTGGATGTATGCCCATGACCACGGCATTCCAGATGAGACCTGCAACAACTACCAAGCGAAGGATCAAAGTACGATGCCTATTATTTCCTTTGCTGTAGGGCTTCATCCCAGGTTTAGCAGATCTTGATATTAAATAAAAGATATTTTGGGGGGTTTTCAGCGTACTGGTTCCTGCCTTTCAGTGCAGTACCTGCTCTTCGACTGACAGAACAGGTTTTCCTTACAGACCTGTGTGTGTTGTCTTACTCCAGCCAGACAGCATAGCATTAAGTCATGCCCAAACAAGTTTGCACAGCTAAATTGTTTAAACTTAATCTCTTACATCTGTGATATACGATCTCTAATGTACTGAAATATTTACAAGTGTCGCCTCAAGCTAAACAAAGGAGAAATGTAAGCTTTGTCTGGTCAGGTATGACTGGAATAGTGTCTGTATCTGTAGAGAAGCACATCTGAAACGTTTCCTCATTAAAGCGCTTGTGCCTATGAAGTAAAGAACAGTAACTAGTGATTGGAGAGATTTCAAATGTGGTTTCCAGAAAGGAATTTAGTTCACCAGAGAGAGTATGTGTTAGTAATTAAGTTATTAATATCTGCCTCAAATAGGTTAAAAGGAAAAAAGCTTGGTGCATGTCCTGGTTTTGGCTGGGATAGAGTTAATTTTCTTCCTAGTAGCTGGTGTAGTGCCATGTTTTGGATTTAGCATGAGAGTGTGTTGATAACGCACTGATGTTTTAGTTGTTGCTAAGTGGTGCTTACACCAGTCAAGGACTTCTCAGCTTCCCCTGCTCTGCCCGGTGCCCAAGGAGCTGGGAGGGGACATGGCCAGGACAGCTGGCCCAGACTGGCCCGAGGGCTATTCCATACCGTATGGCGTCATGCCCAGTATAGAAACTGGGGGAGCTGGCCAGGGGGCAGCGATCGCTGCTCAGGGATGGGCTGGGCATCAGTCAGCGGGTGGTGAGCAATTGCATCGTGCATCACTTGTTTTGTATATTCTATTATTATTATTTTCTCTTCTTTTGCTGTCCTATTAAACTGTCTTTGTCTCAACCCATGGGTTTTACTTCTGTTTTTTCTGATTTCCTCCCCCATCGCACTGCGGGGAGGGAGGGTGAGCGAGCAGCTGCGTGGTGCTTCTTGCCCACTGGGGTTAAACCCCGACAGTGAGGTATCATTAATTCACGTGAAGAAAAGCGTTCTCTTGCAGTGCTAATCTCACTTTTGTTTTGTAGAGTGTAAGAAGTTTAACCAGTGTGGAACTTGTGTCACTTTTGGAGAATGCCATGTGATAAAGAACTACACTCTCTGGAAAGTTGCTGACTACGGGTCTGTCGCGGGAAGAGAAAAAATGATGGCAGAAATCTATACTAATGGACCAATTAGGTAATAAAAAAAATCTTGAATAGTTGTTTATTTACTAGCAATATTGGGATTTAAATACTTGAAACTCATTCTAGTGACTGAAGTGTACTTCTCCACTCTAGCATACGTTAGCAGCTCTGCACTAGTGTGCAGACTTTAGCTTGTTTGTAGATAAATTGAGCTCTGAAGTCAAAATGCAAGAAAACCAATTGTTTTTTAGCCAGGCCCCTGCCCCGATCCCCTTGTATAAAAATGCTTTCTCTGTTTTGTTACAGCTGCGGCATAATGGCTACTGAAAAGTTGGATGCTTACACTGGAGGACTTTATACAGAGTACAACCCCTCGCCTGTGGTGAATCACATTGTATCTGTGGCTGGCTGGGGTGTAGAAAATGGAGTAGAATACTGGATTGTTCGTAACTCATGGGGTGAACCCTGGGTAAGGAAACTTGGGAACAAACGTGTTTGCAGAATGACTTTAGAGGAAAGGTGGGGGTTTTCACTTGCAAACAGGAGGCTGCAAAGCCGGTGGACAGGAAAAGTAAAAGTTTCTTTGAACTAGACTAGCAATTAAAAAATGAAACTTAACTAATTTGAAGACAAGGATATTCAGGCAAAGTTATTTGAGTAATGTCAACTCAATCTGAAATGCTGCCCTTCCACGGACATGCAGCTCCTGTTACGGGCAACTGTAAGTTACTGTTAGTTGTAGGCAAAAATCAGGTTGCATACCTGGAATAGATGAGGGGGATGTAAATTCGCCAAAGCAGATTGCCCCTTTAAACAAGGCTGCCCTGTGAACCCAGCGTTACACTTCATGGAATCATAGAATACCGGGTTGGAAGGGACCCCAAGGATCATCTGGTCCAACCTTTCATCTTGAGTGAATTCCTAGATTTCCTTAAATTATTCATCTTTAGAAGACAGAACAGACTCAATAGCATGCATTTTCTGTAGTTATTTTTTCTAACTCACAATGCAAATTAATTCTTTACAGGGTGAAAGAGGGTGGCTGAGAATTGTGACAAGCGCGTACAAAGGTGGAAAAGGAGCACAGTACAACCTTGCTATTGAAGAGGACTGTGCATATGGAGATGTTGTACTTCCTTGATTCTACATTGTACATCTTTCTGTTTCGGAAGTACTTTGTTTCAAAGCTTCCCAGAACCACCTTTCTCTGTTTAAAGGATTGCAGTCTAAAACTCTTTTACAGTTCAACACCATCAGGCAGCTCTGCAAAATTAGCCCAGATAGCAACACACAATGTCTTCAAAGTAAAATAAAAACAGAACTGCCTTTAGATAATTATTTACAACGTAAGAAAAGGTAATTTACCCGTGAAAAAGTTGTCTGCCTTAATGCACACTATTTAAATCATACTGACTTAGTCACAGAAACTGTATATGTAGATTTCTGGTTTTTTTAAAATACAAATTATGTAGACATACTGGGAAGGAAAAAGTATACTCAATATTTGGGTTGAGAGCTTATATTAAATTCTCTGACAATATTGAGCAAATAGCATCTCAGAATGATGCAGATGAAAAAAAAACCCTAAGTCTGGACACGTTATATACAAAAACTAAATCTCCTGTTGTTTCCTTGGCCTCCTGGTGAAACTGTGGTTGGAAGTCTCATGTAATGCAGTTGCTTTTGTCCAACCACAATGATGGAACAGGAATTACTTTGATCAAAAGACAAAGTATAAACACTTCTCAGTTATTTAATCAGTCTTTGCTCAAATTCCCTGCTTTAATCTGTGATTGGCTGTGCCATATTTCTCCTAAAGAGGCCAAGCGTAAAATGGCAGAACTCTTTGCTGATTTAAAGAAAGGTAGCAAATTCTCTTCTTGGTAACTGACTCAGTTTTGAAGTGGCCAATCAGTGCCATATAAAGTGTTACGAACTGGCATTGTTAATTGCACTTAATAAATGGACATTTTTTCTCTTACATGACTGTATGCTTATTAATGTGTTTTTAGTCATCTTCTGTTGTTGTACCTAACAAGCAGTCTCACATGGCAGACTAGTGCCAATAAGGATTAATTCTGCCAAGGTGCAGTGCCTGCTGTAACTTAAGTTCCTTTGAGCTATGAACGTGGTAGTGTAACAGTACTGATCACAGCATCGCGGAAGTTTTAACTAGTTAAAAGTCATCTGTGTGGGTAAGTACAGAGGAGCTCAAGCATTTAGAGGAAGCAATACCAAGCCTGAACGCAGAGGAAAGCAGAAGTATACTTTGAACAGCTGGCAAATTTGCAATGGACAGAGGAACAAACTGCTCTTATCACTAAAAGATGATACAGGTGATATGAAGCCCTATAGGGTGAATTGTTTCTGTAGCTAATCCCACAAGAGAAAGGAAGTCAGGGGCTACAAACAGCCAAACAGGTATGCTAATTCTACTCAAATATTATGAAAAGTAGGTCTCATGCAGGTTTGAATGGTGAGAGTTAGCTGGAATGACAGTACATCTTCTATTCAAAGATACACAAAGAAGTTCAGAACAGCTTCTGCAGAAGCAAGTTTTGCCCTTTTCAGGCTGTGCTTTAAGTTCGTTAGAGCACTGTAAGTGGTGTTAGGGTAAGCTCAGTCACCGTGGAGTACGTAGGTGAGGGACCAGCTGAGGAAAGGGAAGATGCACTCCTTTTAAAAGGAGTTAAGAACCTATACAACTGGCTGCTGTCTCAAGAATTATGGTACTTTAGAGTTCCCATTCATGGATCAGTGACAACAGAGAAGAACAAAGTGATGTCCTTTTTAAATTTACATCCATGTCACTACCTTTCAGAAAGCAGGCTCTTCAGAAAACAGATGTGCTTGGAAAAGCACAATGGGCTTATCTATACCCCTCACTTTTAAACAAGCTATTTGCCTGTACAAAGACAAATCCAGCCCAATGAACGGAAAGAGCAGTCTTAATGAAACTTTGAAAGAAATCTCTGGAAAAGAAAAACACCTTTATTTAAAGGTAAATTATAATCTTGGGTGTATCCCCCACTGTTTGGCATCAACCAGGACAGAGTGGAGATAAGTATAAAAACCAAGCCACAACAAGCAGTAATGAAATCTCTGCAGACATTCATGTTTTTGGACCGCAGTCGAATTCTGACATGGTAATGAAACTTACCAGTAACGTCTGATGCATCTATTTAACAAAAAAATAGATTCTGAAAGATAACACACACACATAGGATTCACCTGTTAATACAAAACTAACCTTGATTGTTAAAACTCCACTTGTGTTACACAAAACAGGTTTTTTTCATAGCAGTAAATATGTAGGATATTTAGAATTCTAATACAATGCAAAGGTGAGAAAGAGGCATTATGGCTTCTCTGCAGCACAGAGCTAATCAAACAAATTCCTTTTTTACAACGCGTAACATCAAAAGCTAGAGCATTCAAGATTTAGTCTTCAGAGAACTATCTGCAAAGTATTTTTACTAGGAACTACGTTCCCCATTCTTCAGGTTTTGTATATTACACAAAGTATCAGCGACACATTCTGCAAGTAACCAAAATAGCATTCTTGCAAATAAATCTGTTTCTCTCCTGCTATCCCCATCAGAAGATTCAGATTTATACTGATTTGTCTAACAACAGAAAATCCGTCAGTATTACTCAATCTTCCAAAGTACATGAACAGTCCTCTGCTATGAAGCTCAAGGTCACCACGCAAGTCAATCAGATGCCCTTCAGCCCTGTCTTCCTTGTTTTGGGTTTTTGGGGGTTTTTTTTCTGCTGTGTTGCCCAGTTATAGAACCTTACTGGTGGAGAGTGTAGCAAAGTAGTGATCATGTGCTCTGCCTTCTTGATATTTTCCACTGCTTAGTTCATCATAATAAAGTTAGATTTGCAATGAGCTTAAAAGAAAAGAAAAAAAAAGTGTTCAGTACATTACTCTGATTTATCTGTTTGCATGCAGATTTCTGCATTATGTAAATAATCAGGATTTTAGAATCTGGACAGATGTTGTTTTAGGATAGGAATGTATTATGACAGACTACTTCCCTTTTGAGGGCCTGTGTTTAACAATTTTCCTTTAATCAAGAATCTCTGGGTAGTAGTGAGGAACTTGAAGATATATACTGCTTTTTGAGAACAAGCGCTGTAATAAGGAAGGGATAGGAAGGGAAGTAATCTGTGGAAATATCTGGCAGGCATTCCTATTTTTAGCACGCCTCCTCCTAAACTTTATTTGCAAATTGTAGCAAATACAAGAGGAAGAAGGTACACAATGAATAGATGTGACTTACCTATAAACTCAGTGACAGGATCATGTTCGCCTTCTGTTTTAATAGTACCTGCAATACTTTCATTCTCCAAGATCGG